TGGAATAGAAAGGTAAATATAAACCACTATAAGTGGAATTCAGCAAAGGAGTGTAAAGTGCAATGATCATTAACAAATGACAGATGTACAAAATACACATTTAAGAACCCCCCACCAATCAGAAACTTTCAATAAACTAAAACCTGATTTGCTGTTATGAGTTACTGCACTTTTCAAACTGCCATTGTGCTGCCCACTGCTTTACTGCATGGGCCCATTGCGGCGGAATTTCACTTCCTTGTTTTATCTCTGATGTAAATGAACTTTCTCAATCCGCACAGAAGTTCCTTCTTTTACATGCTACGTGGACTTCTGCTTGTGCTTGTAAATTGTTCTTATTAGCATTCCAGTGCAAATCAGGGTGACTGCAATAGTCACAATACACACAACTGGTCCATGCTGTACAATCCCCACCGGCACCTTCACTATTGTGTTGTCGTTAACCTGGTAGGAAAGTAAAGGAGATATTGTCATTAGTCATGGGCACCATGCTTCTCATCAGTAAAGTACAATGTATACTACAAAACATTGTTTTTCTAGAGTTTGGTGGGAACAATATATTTGCAATCGTGTTTAGTGGGAAATATGTGATTCAATAACATATTTGGATTGATGTTCAGTGGTAAGTAATAATCAACATCATATTTGCATTGGTATTTATATGGAATGCCTATTATCTAAGAAAGCTGTTTTCTCTGGCCAGTGCTGCAGATATCTCTTCAAAGAAATGGTGGTGAGTGGCGAAGCACCAAAGGCACTGACAAATGTTAGTGCCCCAAAAGGCACCATCAAGCAGTTATGAACAGTAGCCAGAGGTGCAATTGTGTGTAAAATCCGCGCTTTTGGTGTTTTCTTTCAATGCAATGTGTCAGCAGCAGTGAAAACAATTGAATCTAGTCACTCTCTACAATCTCAAGGCAAAGTCACTGCGCTAAAAAACTTACAACTTATACATAATTATACATAAACAATAAAGTGCCTAGTGATGGCCCCAATATAATATGCAACCTAAGTAGCCTGAGGTGGAACCACGGTTGAGAAGCCCGGAGCTGTTACCTTTTATCTGAGTTAGGACATCATTTACAAATACTTCACACACAACTGAAAGCAAAGTTGATTAGTAAATTCAGTCCATGCTGCTACAATGCAGACTTCTAATTTCCATTTATGATATGCTGATGTGCATTGATAGTGGATCTCCCACACAACATTACAACCTCTACTATCACTAATATATCCTAAATAAAAGATTGAATGCAATTTACAAATATAATATCTAAAAAATTCTTTTTTTTCCTGTTTAAAACCTCATTGTAGGCGCTATTATACTGAAAAGAATAAAGATCAGACAGCTGGCAGCCAGCTATGAGTCTCTAGGACATTATGGATATTGTTTGCTGTACTAACAAGCAAAGCTCTTAAAAGCACATCAATAATGATCTGTCACCGTGAATGACTTACATTACTACTCATGAATATGTATGTGCCTAAAAGAAAGCAAAGCATGCAGACGTGTGTAACAATGACAACAGAAGGAACTATACACCCACTAATAAAAAACACACCAGTGTGTATGGCACATCCATCCACTGACATTCTTCTCCAGTTGAAGATCCACAAGGAGCTATTACTAAAGGGTGACTTGAGCAACCTCTTGGAGGAAAGTCTATAAATAAAGCAATAACAAAAAGAACATGTCAATGCAGCAATAATACATGTTAAATTAAATCCACACTCTAAGCAAATATATTAACACACAGCTGATTTACATGGCAAAAATTTGGTAATGTTAATTAGCCAGCCTTGTGATCCAAGCATCCCTCCCAGACAGCTTGCCATTTGACTATACGGAGCAGTATCAAACTTATAAGGACATCCCCCTGTAAACCCCTCCTGTAAGCACATACACAATGTTAGAGTGACAGCACTATAAAAAGCATAAAAAGCAATAAAGGCCTCACTTGTTCAGAGTTCTGCCCTTCCTTTTCCCAGTCCTACGGCACAGGATGCCGATACCAAAACATATGCGGGTACTTATGCTAGTTCTGTGTAACATACTGTACATTTCATCATTTTCTAATAAATATATAAATAGAATTACAGCTGATTCCAGTTGAATTGGCTGAAATTCAAGCTGTGGGTGGCCCTGTCGGCTGAATGTTCCCAGCATGGACACAGACAGCAATTCAAATCTGACAGAAATTCTAATCCTCCATCTTTTTAAAAACTAAAACTTTGACTTTAGATACACCTTAAAGGAGATCTATGAGGTGAGTGATTTTCACTCATCCTCATAGTTCTAGCCGACGTATGACAATGAAACTGTCACAGGTCGGCTCAGTAGATCGGGAAGTGAGCAAACACATACCGGCGCTCGCTCACTTCTCGATCCTGTCACTGCAGAGAGCCATCCCCTGTCCGATCCTCCAGTGCTGACTGGCGGAATGGATGAGGGAGGGGGCGGGTACAGCTGGCTCTGTCTCTAGATAGGCAGAGCCAGCTGTCACTCACGCAGCTGGGCAGATCCAGCTGCAGCTCGCGGTATACTGAGCTTAGGGTAACAGGAGGACGCTAGTTTGTGTCCTCCCGTTACCCTTAGGAGAACTATGGGGAAAAGCCCTAACCCCATTGTTTAATAGTACCTCAATCTGTTTTTAAAAAAGCCTCATGTAATCCCCTGTACACCAATATTCAGAGTGGGAGAGGACGGGGCAGCACTGTAAACCAATCAGGATTTACCGCCCCGTACAGTGCAGTTAATTCAACAAATGGAGCTTGCTGAATGAAAGAGAGAGCACAGAGATAACCTCATCAGTAAGATGCTGCTCCTTCACTATCCAGTCACAGTCTTGACTGAGTGGAAGAAAGAGGCCTAGTTATTGTACATGGGCAGTGAGAAGCATTTATCATGTATTTATCACACAATACATGTGTCACATATGGAGGAATAAAATGAAAGCACAATCTGATCTCAAACTGACCTAAAGTGGTTTAGGCCCTATTCACACTAGATCCATTGCAATAAGTTTTTTAACCAATGTCAATGGATGCCAACGGAAGGTAACCCAATGAATGAATAGGTGTGAAAAGGACCAGTTCACACCACTCTGTTCCATTGCATTGCACTGAAAAAAAGTAGCCCTATTCACAGCCAATCATTTTTCGGTGCCCTTGCTTTAGTATCCTTTGAAAAACGTATCGCAACTCAACAGATTGGAAGGAATTTGGAAGGTACAATCACAAGTCAATGGACCCTCTGTTGTCTCACGATTACCTTCCGATTTTGGTGTAAACAGGCCCTTAAAGCAGAAGTCAAATTGTCAAAAGTGCAGACAGCAGACATTTTTATGGCCGCTATTGCACAGCTTAGTGTACAGTCTTGGCAGGACTCTTGCCAAGGGTGAAGTAACTCCAGTGCACATGCATGGTAGTTATATCATCAGCCCCTAGCCAATCAAGGGGCTGAAAACTCGGAACCCAGAAGAGGACCAGGAGAAGATGGTGCTGGTGACCGAAGGCAGTAGCGCTGGAGGGGGATCACTTCTGTAGGCAAGTCTGCCATCATTTGCTAATATGCTGTGCATACTAGCACATTATGGCAAACAGTTTCTGAGGCCCAGTTTTTTCTAATCAGCAGTTTACTTCAACTTTACAATACTTTTGTATACTGGCACTTAAGAAACCTGCCACGAGAAAAACATGAAGCAAAACTGCTCAGATCTTTTTCTGAAAATACTACTTGTCTGGCTTTCCTGTGGACCATCTTGCTTCAATACATTGAGTCTCTGACCCAGACCAAGCATTATTTTTCTCCAACTCTGCTTATATGCAAACTCATTCTGAGTGATTCAAACATTTCAGCAAGGCAATAAGCATTTTCAGGAGGTCGGTAATGGCCTGTATAATTCTCTCCTGACATGCGCAGTGCATAAATCAATAACAACATGCATACTGCAGTATCTAATAAGAGCCTAATTTGCAATGCTTTACTGACTGAACTCAGAAGAATACCATTATTGAGTTACCTTTGCTGCAGCGAATAAGTAACTGAGGACTGTGGATACGTATAGACACTTCATAGACGTCGGCAGATGAGCGATGGTATCGTGCATGAACTGGTACCGTGGAAATATAGCAATCATTGCAGGATTCATCTGGTTTCATATACACCAGAGCAGTGTGTCCTTTGGAGAGGTACTCAGGAGCTTCTATATCAATGGATTTTGGCACTATTACCTGATTAAAGAGACATATGAATACAGAATATATTACTCTGTTTTGACTCCATCATGCAAAAAAACAATTGTATGCTAAAGAACCCAGCAAAACTGGAGTAACACTGTAAAGATCACGGTCTGTTTCCTCATCACGTGTGTAAAAACAGGTCACCTCCAGGTAGATATAAAAAGACACAAATGAATGCAGATCTGTATTCACCAATAGATTATTAAATGTGTTTCTTTAAATGCAAGCAGTGTAAGTACCTAAAAGTGACATGGTATCAGCCTCTTACAGTTCCAAGAACCAGTCAGTTGTGCTGCAGTACACATGTGCTAACAAGGACAAGGAACATGGTCTTGCAGTACTCATGTGCTAACAAGGACAAGGAACATGGTCCTGCAGTACTCATGTGCTAACTAGGACAAGGAACATGGTCCTGCAGTACTCGTGTGCTAACAAGGACAAGGAACATGGTCTTGCAGTACTCGTGTGCTAACAAGGACAAGGAACATGGTGCTGCAGTACTCATGTGCTAACAAGGACAAGGAACTTGGTGTTGCAGTACTCATGTGCTAACAAGGACAAGGAACATGGTGCTGCAGTACTCATGTGCTAACTAGGACAAGGAACATGGTGCTGCAGTACTCATGTGCTAACAAGGACAAGGAACATGGTGCTGCAGTACTCATGTGTTAACAAGGACAAGGAACATGGTCTTACAGTACCCATGTGCTAACAAGGACAAGGAGCATGGTCCTGCAGTAGTCATGTGCTAACAAGGACAAGGAACTTGGTGCTGCAGTACTCATGTGCTAACAAGGACAAGGAACTTGGTGCTGCAGTACTCATGTGCTTACAAGGACCAGGAACATGGTCCTGCAGTACTCATGTGCTAACAAGGAACATGGTCCTGCAGTACTCATGTGCTAACAAGGAACATGGTGCTGCAGTACTCATGTGCTAACAAGGACAAGGAACATGGTGCAGCAGTACTCATGTGCTAACTAGGACAAGGAACATGGTGCAGCAGTACTCATGTGCTAACAAGGACAAGGAACATGGCCCTGCAGTACTCATGTGCTAACAAGGACAAGGAACATGGTGCAGCAGTACTCATGTGCTAACTAGGACAAGGAACATGGTGCAGCAGTACTCATGTGCTAACTAGGACAAGGAACATGGTGCAGCAGTACTCATGTGCTAACTAGGACAAGGAACATGGTGCAGCAGTACTCATGTGCTAACTAGGACAAGGAACATGGTGCAGCAGTACTCATGTGCTAACTAGGACAAGGAACATGGTGCAGCAGTACTCATGTGCTAACAAGGACAAGGAACATGGTCCTGCAGTTCTCATGTGCTAACAAGGAACATGGTGATAGGAGGAAAGAACAGAGTGACAGAGAGATGAGCTCATCAGTCTGATTTTCCTCCTCTCATGTGTGTTGAAGCGCATTGATATGCATTTTTTTCAACGGGTTGCATCTCAATGTGTACATTTTTTTTTTTTTGCGTTCACAAAAAGCCAAAACCAAAATATGTTTTCTTTCCCTAATACTCAGAACAGAATTGTCATGTGTTAAGCAATGCCGCCCAACACAAGCAGTGTTAATATTTAACTTTATTTGGGTGGCTACAAATCAGATTTAATTATCTGCAGGTTTCATTGGACACAATGTAATTAGATCACCGGTATGGATACCTCTACAAGATTGTGCTGCTGTTGAGAAGAGATCTGATATGGATCCATAAATAGTCCAGATGGGATGGTCTCATTGAGGAGAATCCTGCAGCTGTCCACCTGCTCAGTGTAGCCCTGAACACTCACTCTGGTTACCAAATCCCTAATAACATGAACAGAAAAGTTTTTTAAAATGTAATTACAATGAAAATGAAAAGAGCTCCAAGATATTATGTTTTGTCAGAAACAGATTTTTGTATCTGGATTTTATACACAGCATATGTTTGTTAGGTTTGTGCCTAAGTATAGAGAAAAGACAAAATTAAAATTAACAGGCGGCATATTGTCAAACCTTTGAGCAACTAACCACTTCCTTCCACGTCAGTGATTTCTCTATACAGCCTGTAATGTCTCCATCTCTAGTCTCTGCCTTCTCTTACCTACTTCTGTATTACACCACCATCATACATTATTTCCGACACAAAAATGAACAAAATCAGTCCAGAGACTAAAAGGTTCGGGGTACCATATAAAGTAAAGTATCAGATTTGCTGTACAGAAGGCAGTGTCAGCAGCTTCAGGCAGAACCCAGAAGTGCTGGGCAGTCCATGCGGTGAACCCGTTAACTCCTGAGTTTAGTGTCACTTTAAGGACCCGTTAAAACCATAGCATTATGTGAATTGCATGATACAGTGCATTTAGCCCACTCTATCGCACAATTCACCTAATGCGCGTTACCGTTTGCTAGGTGCGTTGCGATTCGTTCTAATGGTACCACGACGCACCTCCTGGCCGCTGTGTGTTGCAGTGAAAAAAAGTAGTGTGTTACGGCGGATGACACACAGCCATGGCATTGATCTTGAGCATCAGATTGCGGGGACCGTCCAGTAAGTAGTTTGGATGTTGTATATATGATGTTTTATATATGATGACGTTAAATGAGATTATATCATATAGAGTTTTTTCTGTTCTTTTTTTCAAAATGGCCTTTTTTCCCGCCGTTTTTACATCACTGGGGGCGTGTACATCACTAATGATTTGATTACATGGGGTATATATGTAGCTTGTGGATGTTATTACATTGTCACATCTCTTGCCTTGAAGAAGGGACCCTGTGTGGCCCCGAAACGTCGGCTCATGTTGGATTTCTGTGACATCATTGTCCATTAAAAGGACTCATTCATTTTAACTTATGGAGTGCTGGTGACCTATTTTCTTCAATCTAGTGTGTAGGCAACACACTTTCTTGTAGTAAAAGAGGTATAGACTGAGCATAGCACAAATCAAGCTTGGTTTTGCACTATTCTGCCTTCTGGTTCAGTACTGTGATAGTGAGGGAACATATGGTTCAGTGCTGAGAGAGTGAGAGAACAATATGGGTCAGTACTGCGAGAGAACAATATGGGTCAGTACTGCGAGAGAACAATATGGGTCAGTACTGCGAGAGAACAATATGGGTCAGTACTGTGTCTGTATGTTGGGGTCAGTATTGTGTGTATTTGTGAGTATGGATCAGTACTATCTGTGTAGGATTGTCAAAAAACAAAAAAAACAGGCAGTGATGAGCGAGCTTGGAGCGGTGACTACTTTACAACACACACACAGGAACCATAGGGAGTAGCCCCCTCCAGAAGGAAGGACAGTGTCAGCACCAATTCAGAGATGATTTGAGGATCTACAGCCGAGTGATACACAAATAAGATACATTTTTGTTAATAGTTAAGGTCCATGAATGCATTTTTAAGATTTCACTTCTGAGTTTAGTGTCATTTTTAGGGTCTAATGTCACCCAGCATGGCACAGTGCAAAATAATTTGCATTACAAACCTGCCTACCTTTATATTATGTACAGAGGTGGTAGAATCTAAAGGTGCCCATACACCTGCCAATTATCGTACAATAATCGGCAGGTGTATGGAAGGCGTGCAACCGTTTTTACTGTACGGTCGCACGTCTTTTGTCTTACGAGCATGTTTGAAAACCCGCTGAGAATCGTACGATTTTCGGCGGGTTTGTTGCCTGCTGGTAAGACAAATGCCGCACGGGCCGGTGTGCGCAAGTGCACACTGCCCGTTCAGCATTGCAGTCAGCGAGAGGGCTTGCGATGATCGCAAGTACGATCTGCCAGTCCAAGATGGGCAGATCGTACGTTTTTTTAATTACCTTATAACCATCGCAAGACAAAAGTCTTGCAATGGTTGTAAGGTGTATGGCCAGGTTAAAGCGTGGACAGGTAAAAGAAAGAAAAAAATATTTTTTCCACTTTATCCTTCAGCAGTAACAAGAATGTTTATTTCTGACACTACTCTGAACCTGAGCTGGAAAAAAAGCAAAGCAGGTATTTCTCATTACCGAGAACTATTCTCTGTAGTTCTGAGAAAGGGCCTTACACAGCATCAGAGTCATGAATATGAATATGTATTTAGTCTACACCACACAAACACCTATATACAGGGCTCGAAAAATCCACTCGTCCACTCGTCTGTGACGAGCAGACAGTGGAGCCGATGAGCAGCTTCCCGGCCGGCCGTTTAAAAGCATTTTAATCGTCGTGTATGGGCTTTTTTTGCGAACGCAGTTTTAAGGCTTGACATGTTTGGTGTCTATTTACCCGACGTGACCCCGACTTTTATGTTTTACCAAAAATATGGGTAAGAATAAATGTTTTATAACATAGGGAAACTTTTTTTTAAATATATTTATGGTACTTTCTTCATTATATAGTAAAAAAAAATAACCCCCCGTGGGGTCACAAAAGAAACCTCTATCTGTCCCCAAATTTTTTTTACATATATTGCAAGGCTATAGTCAGGTCATGCTGACTGGTGAAATTTTTGACTGACTGGTGAGACACCGCCAAATTTTTCAAGCCCTGCCTATAGACATATTCCTTTTTATACTCAATGCTTCATATCAACAACATAAAACAGAGCTAATAACTTTAAAAGAACATTCGTTTCCCGAGGTGAGAAGAAAAATACCTGTGAAATCCATTCTTCAAAATCTCTCTCTCAACTTTCAGCTGAAGACATGAATATTCAGCACCTGAGAATAAACAAAGTTAAAATAAAATACAAAAACACATGAGTTATAGTAAATACACAGCAGCATTTTCTCTGTCCATGGTACCTATGTGCTAACCAAGCACGAGAAAAACCACATGAGGAGCACAGCCAGCCTGCTGAATAACTGTAATCATCCTGACATTCATCATGTATAGCTGGCTGTCTTGTTCCTTAAAGTGGAACTCCAGCAAAAACATTTTTGGTTTTAGACAGAGTAGGATTTGGACTTCTGCCAGCTTTTGATGGGCTGTGCAAGATTAGGGAGACTTCCTCTCATTTCTGTGGGACGCAGACAGTCAAAAAAAACACTTTTACAGAATTCTAACTAAGGTGTGTGCCCGTTAAAGAGATTTCCCCTCACTTCCTCTCCTGGTGACAAGTAGTCACCAACAAAGCAAGTGACTATTTCCCAGATGGGAAATGCAGAGAGAAATTAAAACCTGAAAAGTCCTGACCCTTCCCCAATGTATTCAAACAAATTAAAAAGAAATGTATTTCCCACTTTAATCTTTGGCAGCAACTAGAGTGAATATTTCTGACACTAAACTGAATCAGTGCGGGACTAAATAATGCACATCATTTCTCAATTGGTTTTGCTTGGGGTTTAGGTGCATTCGCCTGCTTTTACAGACCATAAAAAAATGCAGCATGCTCTACTTAAAAAAAAAAAAAAAAAAAAAGCTCTGGAACTGAATGCAATGGTGTGAACTAGCCTCATTTTTACCATTAGAATTACTGTGTATACGTTTTTGGCGCAGGTTAAAAACCATTTGGTCTGGAGATGGTGTGAGCAGGCCCTAAGCGCCAGCCGACTCCAAAGATCAGGTGACAATTTTTTTTTTAACCTAGACAAAAATGAGCAGTTAACCCCTGGAGTGCAGGGGCCGTCCATCTGCAAGGGTTAATAAAATATGTGCCTGGAGTTCTGCTTTAAAGTACCATGTAGTTTATCTGTGTTACAAACACTGGACGCTACAGGTGAAACTGCACCTATGAATGAATGAATTAGTCCTAAAATACAAGTTTTTCTTGTATAATACGGGGTCTGGACTCCAGAGATAGAGACATAATCCTGCCTGCCCCTGTACAAAGCATTAGTAAGATCTCATCTGGAATTTGCAGTTCAGTTTTGGGCACCAGTTCACAAAAAGGATGTTGTGGAACTGGAGAGAGTGCAGAGAAGGGCGAATAAACTCATAAGAGGCGGGGGGCGCTAGAAAGCAGCCGACGAGCATGGACGCCTGCTAGATCGGCTCCGCACCACCCGGGCGTGTGATCGTTAAAACACAGATCATCTCACTTCCCATCCACTCCCCACCTTACCGACTGATTCCCTGGACCTTCTGACTCCAACATGGGGAAGAATCTGCCGCCGACCCGCTCGCAGCACAAGATGACGGTGTCCACGAAATCGCGTCCTGATTCCAAGATGGCGGCCGCTCCACCCTCGCCGGCCGGTCTCTCACCCGAGCTGCTGGAGTCAGCAAACAACTCCTCAAATGATGGCTTCTCCCCCAAGCCTCCAGAATCACATCAGGGGACCGAGGTCAGGGACGCAGCCCTCCTGGACAAGTTTAAGATCCTCCTGCAGAGAGAACTGAAGGCTGCAACAGACAAACTGGCAACACACTTATCCAAAGACATCAGGGAGCTGGGCACCAGGATCCACGACATTGAGTATAAGGTAGATGACATTGTCACTGTGATAGACTCACATGAGGAAGACCTACACAATCTGAAATCTGACCTTTCCACTGCCCTGCTGAAACTTGAAGATCTGGAAAACAGAAATCGCAGGGGTAACCTTCGCATCAGGGGGGTGACTGAACACGTGGACGACCTAACATCCACCGTCACAGCCATGTTCCAGGAACTCCTCCCGGGCTTCCCACTGGAACGCCTTGAGCTAGACCGAGTGCATCGCGCCCTGGGCCCGAAGAGGGTCAATGGACCCCCCCGCGACATTATACTCAAACCCACATTCTACAAAACGAAGGAGGCGATCACTCAGGCTGCGTGGAAACAACGCACCCTACGCTTCCAGGACTTTGAATACCAGATATACGCTGACCTGGCGCCGCAGACTCTCCTGAAACGGAAGGCCTTGAGACCGTTCCTCATCACCTTACAGCGTCACGCCATCAATTATAAATGGGGGTTCCCATTGAAGGCTACTTTCACCCTCGAGGGTAAGTCGTACTCCTTCTCTTCTCCCGAGGAAGCGGGGCCACTCCTGGAACAGCTGCACTTGTCGCCCCCAACGGTTTCTGAAGCGGCCCCCCCACTGGCCTCATCCCCCTCGAAGGATAGACGCCTAGCCCCTCTGTGGGAACGCAGACGCTCAAGGGAAGCAGCGACCCCAGCCACGGCCTCGCCTAGATGTTGGAGACTGATTCCCCCGTACAACAACTCGTGCACGAGTCATCTATAGCTGTAATGCCTTGCCAATTAGTCCGGTTGGAGAGCTGTTATTCTCCTGTTTCCGAGACTCTCCCACCCACGACTTTGATTACACCCGTCTGGATCTCGTTACCTGCGGTCCGTAAGTTGTGATGTTCCTCACCCACGGTTATGGGGTTACCCCCCTCATAGAGCCACCTAAGATGCCCGATCCGTCACGACCCCCATGCCTGCGGTTGAAGGGCACGGACGGCTCAGGGGCTTGTTAACTGGTGCTCGGTGCCGACCTGTTACACGGCACTTCTTTTTAGCCTCTTTTGCAGACTTCATTTACCTACGCCAATGTTGGCGCTGTTAATGTTTCACAGTTTATTTTTACAATGTGATGTTACTGGTTTATTTCTGGGCCTCCGTGCCACCTTTTGAGCCACACTCTGCTCCTTGCTTCCATTCCGCAGCTGCCCACCCCATGGAGGTGCGACAGCGGTGATTAACCTGGGAGTGGGCATCGGAGTCGGCCTCAAGTCCACCCGGTTGACTATGTGACACTGTATGCCTTGGTAGGAACGCGTGTCTTAGCTATTATCCTGTGACCCGCTGTGACAACCCCCTAGTCTCCCCCTTCCCTTCCTCCCCGGATCCATATAACTAAAGGCCTTATCCATACTCCCCCCCCCCCCGTCACACCCATCCCCCCCCTGAAGATGAACCATGAAGCACTATACACGTTAGGTCCTGCCCTCCATGCCCGGGTGGACAGGGCACCCCCATATCTTTTGAAATGCTTCTGCGCATTTCTCCCTATTGTTCAGCTCTGACGCTGATGTGGAACGCAACCACTTTCTGTTTCTTATACCCATTCTTTCTCTCTCCCACCTCTCTCTCTCTTCCCTTCCTCTCCCCTCCCCCCCACCGGCACTGGGGTCTGTCTGGAAGATCCCTTGCAGCTCCCTTAGCTTTACAGGTGCTGTCACCATGCTCGTTCTTACCGCACCATCGCATAAATGACTAGCAGACCCTTCAAAATCATTTCCCACAATGTGCAGGGGCTCAACTCCTCCCGCAAACGCAGGCTAGCTTTCAACTACTATTCATTCCACCAGGCCAACATACTGTGCCTACAAGAAACAAAATTCTCGACATCATCACACCCGACTTACTTCCATAAAAATTATCCCCAGATCTTTCAGGCCATGTTCAGCGAAAAAAAAAGAGGGGTCCTCATCGCCTTCCACAAAAACACCCCATTCGTGTGCTCCCATGAGATAGCGGACCCCACTGGTAGATACTTGTTGTTAACTGGCACAATATTTGATGTGGAGGTGACCCTGCTCACATACTATGCTCCCAACACGCACCAAACTCGCTTCTTCTCTCACATACTGACAGTAGCTGACAAACACAGCAAGGGTACCCTAATAGTGGCCGGAGACTCCAACCAGGTCCTTGACCCTAAATTGGACAAGTCGGGACCTACCACATCTTCTTCCCCCCCGGCCCACTCCAACCCTCTCCCCCCTCTTTCGCACACTCTTACAGGACCGTAACCTCATTGACGTCTGGAGGGACCGCCACCCAACCACCAGAGACTATACGTTTTACTCCCACCCCCATGCCAGCTCCTCTCGCATAGACCATATTTTTGTAATGCCCAATTTTCTCCCCTCTGTCCTGGATGACCGCATCCTCTCTGCCTCCTGGTCAGACCACTCCCCTGTATCCCTCACCTGTAAATCCTTATTCCCCGCCTCCTCTCAATTTAGCTGGAGACTGAACGACTCCCTTCTCTCTTTTGTCGATTCCGCCCAGCATGTACAACTGTGCCTTTCCCGCTATTTCGCGGAAAACGAATCACTATCTGGGAAGCCCACAAAGCGACCCTGCGTGGCGAGCTCATCAGTCTGGCCTCCCGACAAAAGAGAGAACGCACCAAAAGGGTGTCGGACCTTTCATCAACGCTGGAGGGGCTCGAGTCTGACTGGAACCTGGCCCCCTCAATTCCCCTGCGGAAAAAGATTGATTCAGTTCGGCTGGAACTAAACCTCCTACTGAACGACTCGGCGGAAAAACAGCTCCGCTGGGCCAAATGCACATTTTACGCGTGTGCTAACAAACCAGGCCCTCTATTGGCCAACATGCTCAATTCTAAACCGAAGGCCAGGCCCCCGGTCAGACTTTGACTCCCCAATGGCGCCACTACGGCAAACCCATCCACCATCCTCCATCGCTTCTCCTCCATCCTTTCTAAATTATATGGCAAGCCCTCGACCTTCCAAACCCGCCAGGCCGACGCACTGTTCAATGGGGTAGTTTTGCCTTCACTCACAGAGCACATGAGCACCCTTATGGCCCGGAGCATTACCCTTGAGGAAGTCCTTCTGGCCATCAAATCCCTCAAGACCTCCAAAACGCCTGGTCCGGACGAATTTTCGGCTTTATACTACAAAAAGTACTCAGACATCCTAGCCCCCCACCTGACAGCCATGTTCAACTCTCTGAAAGCCCACAATACTCTCCACCCGTCCTCCCTACTGGCCCACATGTAATGATCCCCAAGCCTGACAAAGACGCCCTTGAACCCCACAATTACAGACCCATCTCCCTACTAAATGTTGATGTCAAACTACTAGCGAAGATATTGGCCAATCGCATGAACACGATCCTCCCTGACCTAATACACCGAGACCAAGTGGGATTTGTCCCTTACCGACAAGCGTCAGACAATACGCGGAAGATCATTCACCTCGTTCACCACATGCACAGTACTAATACCCCTGGCATGCTCCTTTCCCTAGACCTCCAGAAGGCGTTCGATTCCATTTCCTGGGACTACCTCTTCTACGCCCTCAAAAATGGGTTTTCCCGAACGACTTCCTCCTCTGGATTCGAGCCCTATACAGCACCCCAACAGCATCTGTCCGATACCTTAGCTACCTGTCACCAGCATTCCCTATCCTGGGTGGCACTCGTCAGGGATGCCCTCTCTCACCCCTCCTTTTCCTCCTGGCCATCGAGCCCCTAGCTAATCCGCACTAATCCCAACATCCATGGTATTGTCCGGGGAAATACTGACTACAAACTTCATATGTTCGCAGACGATATCTTGCTCACCCTCTCCCAGCCCATTGTATCCCTTCCCAACCTGCTATCGCTTCTACACTCCTTTGCCCAAGTCTCAAACTTAATGGTCAACGCTGACAAATCCTGCGCACTCAATATCTCCTTACCAACACAACAAGTTACTGCCCTAAGCCACAACTTCCACTTCAAATGGCACACCTCCCACATAAAATACCTGGGAGTTAACATTTCCCGCACTTACGACACTTTATACTCTACTAACTACCCCCCACTTTTTAAAACCCTACACGACCTCCTGTCCTCCTGGACGCGACACAGACTCTCCTGGATGGGTAAAATTAACGCGGTCAAAATGACCATCCTCCCTAAACTGCTATACCTCTTTCGCACTTTGCCAATACCGATACCCCCGAAAGGACCTCGAGCGGTTCCAGGCCCAGGTAGTCTCGTTCGTCTGGAGCACAGGACGTCCCAGGGTGTCCATATTCACTCTACATACACATAAACGAGACGGTGGCCTGGGCCTCCCCACTTCCACAAATATTACCTGGCGGCACACATCGTCTCTATAGTCAGCTTTTTCCAATCCCCCAATAATCCACTCTGGGTTGACCTAGAGGCACTTGCGTGTAGCCCTTATTCATTGTGCTCCCTACCCTGGTTACCCACCAACCTGCGTCCTCGTTCCATGAGCCCCATGCTGAACCACACATTCTCCCTCTGGGATTCCACCAGATACTCCAGTAATTTCCAGTCTCCGACTCACAACTCAATAAAAACTTTGAAACGAAAACTCATAAGAGGCATGAAGGAGCTCAGCTATGAGGAACAATTGAATTTGTTCTCTCTGGAGAAGAGGCGATTAAGGGGGACATGATCACCATGTATAACATACATAAACGGTCCATATAGTGACCTTGGTGCCAAATTATCCACTTTAAGGTCCCTGCAAAGGACAAGGGGGCACTCTTTGTGTCTGGAGGAAAAGAGGTTTAACCTTTGCATACAGAAAGAATTCTTCACAGTTAGAGCTGTGAAAATGTGGAATAGAGCCCCCATGAGCTAGTTCTAGCTAGCTCCGTTAATAGCTTTAAAAAACATCTGGATGTATTCCTAAATGCACAGAATATTACCGGATATTGAGTTCTTATAGGTATATTAAGCACCAGGAGATTGTTGATCCAGGGAATATCTGATTGCGTTATAGGATCAGGAAGGAATCCTTTTCCCCTGTTGGAGCAAATTCAACCATGCTTTATAGGGGTTGTTTTGCCTTCCTCTGGATCAACAGTGGACAACCGAGGGCATAGTGTTCTGTTCAGGCTTTTCTTCTTTTTTTCATATCTCTATAAATTGAACTTGATGCACATGTGTCTTTTTTCAACCGGACTAACTATGTAACTATGTAAGTTCCAGTTTTAAATGGTAGGTATAGTTTTAATAAAATTGCCGTTGCCAACTGTGCTTGCCACTAACTAAATGATACTACAAGCCTGAGCTGCAGACTTAGGGCAAGCCCATATGAGCTTCCCAAAGCTTTGTCGCTGCTCGTCTAGAGATGGCCCATTACACTGGTCTACAAGGAGAAAGCCTCGGAAATTAAAGTAGCTACATTTTACCAGAATTGGGTCACTAATAAAAGGAAAATTAAGTCCCGAGTATAAATGGGCTCCAGTTTCCAAGATACAGCTTCAGGTCAAAATTGCATCAAAATAATTCACAATTACGAGGGGGATGTGCGATTCTGCTCCTTAACTTTTCTGCAAAATGTCATATAGCAATGAGAATGGTGCCACACCAATAACATAACTTTCCATTCATTTATTGGCTTTTCATGTAACATTTTCATGCTTTTTGCATGAAAAACTGACAAGCTCTAACAATAGATTAAACAACAAGGTTCCATCTTTATTCGGTATCTAAACTGCGCTTTCTGGCTTTTCTCTTGTGAACTGCAGCAGGATCATCCCTGGAGAGATTCCATTGGGGGAACCATGCAAAAATATGAGCATGCGCTACTATGATTGGTGGGTTCCCTCCACACCATTGGGACTGTGAAAGGCATGGACTTTTTCTTCTTGTTTAGCCAATGACGCAGATAAGTTGCACATGTAATGCAACAATAATGAGGGGCCCAACTCTTGTCCTGTTCCCCTATTTTGCATCCATAATATAGGCGGTTTGCCTTTTTTACCACTGCCGTCACACACTGCACTTTTGAGATGCAAATGTAAACTCGTCACAAATGTAGCGGAAGTTATCTGCGTTGTTTACACACAGTTTCGAGGCATCTTGGCTTCTGAGGGAAAATATCACGCAGCCATTCCTTGGAAATTTTTGACAATTACACTTTCACAAGCCAACAGATGTAACTGTATGATGTGTAGATCTGACCAAGACAAATGTACCTTGCAATAAAAGAACAATAAATTACAGCTAGGTAATAACCTTTAGTCACAAAGTGCAGATACATTTGTACACCTCCATGTGGTACCATTTTCATAGGTCTATTGTACTTTGTGGAGAAGTTACGAGGCATCATGATCATCAGACACTTCCCTCCATTGTAGGCAAATATACTCGCCTGTCTATAAATCTTTATTGTGAAATATCTTGAAAACTTTAGCCAACCAACCAGCACCTTTCTCACCTGTTTTCTAATCCATCTCATCACAATATGTAAGATTTAACACATTTTATTTCTGAGGTCCATGATTTCACAACATTTGTAGACCTGTGTTATTATTATCTATGGCAGAAGCTAGTGAGTGTGTGGAAGATATGCGCAACTTACCTGTACTTGCTGCTGAACGAATGGAAATCAGTAATACAGACACCACAGCGATTTGCAGTTTTGACATGACGATCTTTATAACACAACAAAAAAATATTCAGTTTCTTGGACTGTTTTACCTGTAAACAAGTAATACGATAACAAATATCATCATTCGTTATAAATCTGTCACATTTCTCAGATCCTACACTCAGGACCGGATTTACCCTCCCTGACGCCCCAAGGCTGGGTTCGGCAATGCCCCCCCACCATAGAGAGGAAGAGCACAGCTCTCCCCTCTCACTGTATACACGGAGCGTCAGGGTTAGTTTTAACCCTGCCCCTCTGTTCACCGCTCTCCATCCAGAGGACGGCGGCGGCGAGGACAGAGCCGGGAGGACGCAGCATGGAGAGAAGTAGGTGCAGGGGAGGGAGGGGGGCGGCAGGGGGAGGACAGACCAGCAGTCTAATTACAAGTGGTGACGGTGACATCGACGAGATCACTTGTAAAGAAACAAGTGATTTCTCCTATTCTACATTTAGCCCGGCTTGTGCAAAGCAGGGCTAAATGTAGAAAATAAATTACCGCCCGGCACTCCATGTTCCAAGCGTTGGGTGACTTCAAACCTGTGCCGCCCCTCTGCTCAGTGCGGCCCCGAGGAATCGGGCCCTGCCTACACTACACCTTGTCTATCACTTTATTTGTTTTTCTTTATTGTTATAGAGCACAGAACAGTTCAGTTATTTCCGGTCCTACCAAATGCATCTGAAGTGCCAGGAATGCTCACACTTTTCTTTCCAGATCGGTTGCAAAGCCAAAAGCTGGCTGCACACTAGACCACCGTCAGCCATCTGTGCCCGCCAGTGCACTCCGAAACACAAACGTTCTCATTGCGTGACTGTTCATGTTTAGAGAGAAGGTGGACAAGACGTGTTGTAGACACCTCAGAGGGTAAAAGAGGCATTCTGAAGACACCTTTAGCTGGCCATACACTAACAGGGTTATTGACAAAAGAGTGAAGAGTTTGGAGAAGTGAACAATCTAGGCCAAAATTCTAACAGGGTTATTCACAAAAGGGTGAAGAGTTTGGAGAAGGCAGGAGAAGTGAACAATCTAGGCCAAAGCAGCTGATTTGGAAAAATTCTCCAATTCAGTTCACTTTCCAGTACAGCTATTTTGGCCTAGATTGTTCACTTCTCCAAACTCTTCACCCTTTTGTGAATAACCCTGTTAGAATTTTGGCCAATAATTCTACCCATAGGTGACCCTGCCGGCACCACCCAGCTTGATGAACTTCACTTGAAAATCAGTCACTGTTCTGGTATTCTGAAAGACACGGGCAACAAATGAGAAAAACCTATCAGGGTTAATCACAAAAGGGTGAAGAGTTTGGAGAAGGCAGGAGAAGTGAACAATCTAGGACACCATAGCTGAACTGGAAAGTGAGCCGAATTGGAGAATGTTCCAGTTCAGCCATGTTGTCCTAGATTGTTCACTTCTCCTGCCTTCTCCAAACCCTTCACCCCTTTGTGAATAGCCCTGTATATGTGCATGGGCAGCTTTAGGACCCGGCTGTTCATGGGAAAACAAACGTTTTCTAACCTGTCCAGTTTGTATATCTCCATATGAGCCAGGGCCTGCAGTGGATGGTCGCTCATAGACATTAGATTTGGAGATTGTCATCTAATGTCTAGAAGCACATTTAGACAATAGTAACAATACTGATCATACCTTGCTGCTGTGGAGATTTAGCTTAGCTAGATCTTTAGGTTCTGAACAATAAAACCTTATCATGTCACATCTACTAATCAAGAACGCAAACCACATTTCTCTATATTAAATCAAATCCTTTTTCCCCCTGCAGTTTGTTCTTAACCCTTGCAGTGCTCATTTTTGTCTAGATGCTAAAATAAAAGTTATACTTACCCGACCCTCTGACATGGCTTGCTCTTAGATCGGTCCCTGGAACCTCTCTCCCCTTTCGTTGCAGTAGTCTAAGGTCCCTGAGTCATCACGTTCTATACACTGTGTATAGGATGTGAGGACGCAGAGGGTCATACCATATCGCTGCAGTGGAGGAGGAGACAGGCTGGAGGGAGCGCTGTGACAGCCGGACGGGTGAGTTTAACTTTATTTTAGCACCTAGACAACAACGAGCACTTAACCCTTACAGTGCATGGGTAGCCCCACTGCAAGGGTTAAGAACAGATTTGCCTGGAGTTCTGCTTCAAACCTCTGTGTTTTTTTTCCTGTGCCCCTGTGAAACTTCTTCAAAGTGAGAAAAATCCTCTATTAAAGCATTGTCACTGGAAAGTGTCCCCCCCACTGGACAATTTTCTCTCTATTCTCATTCTGGTGACAACTAAAAATGTTGGAATTCTAATCACATTCAGTGCCAGCAACAGTGGTCACCATTAGAGACAGAGGGTGAACCCACCTAACGGGGGAACACAACACTAAAACTCAAAAACCTGGCAAGGGTTCCCACTGCATCCAACAGTAAAAAGAAAACAGTTTGGGGGGAATTTATCAAAACTGGAGCAGACAAAATCTGGAGCAGCTGTGCATAGTAACCAATCAGCTTCTCTCTTCCGTTTGTTCAGTCAGGATTTGAAAATGAAAGAGAGAAGCTGATTGGATTGGTTGCCATGTACAGCTGCTCCAGTTTTGATAAATTCCCTTCCTTGTGCTTTAGATACACTTCTAAAGCACATCTATCAGATAAAGTCTACAGATAGTAAGCACTAAACACGAATGTAGTAACCATACTGTTAATGTAATCAGTGTTTATACCCGTTCCCAAAGTCTCCTGTCCCTGGAAATCGGACTTTCCCTAACCTGTAAGATTTTATTCAGCACAAACACTAACCCACGGCTTGTATTCGCTGCACTTCCGCCTTTCACTGGGGTCCTCCAATCCGGAAACATGAAAAAGCCCCCCGAGCTGCCTGTTCGAAACAAACGTGACTCGCCTATTATTTATTACAACGTTCTTCAGTTTATATTAGATATTTTTTTCTTTTGTTTTTGCGAACGAAGTATTAGAATTACGATTTCTTTTTTCAGTATTGAAAGTATAGAAAGTGAAACATCTGCAGGCACAATGGGGACAGCCCGGCTCAGGGGGCTTAGCTGTTTGTTGCCAAGGTAACGCCTCCATAGAGGCTCAGGTGAGTGACTCGAGCACATATTATGGCTCCTTGTTGTGTATATTGGGTTTTGTGGTTCATTGTAATGTAGTGTGTTTGTGTGGTAATGCCCAAAGGAAGCTGTTGAATACTGTCTATATCCGGGGGCGTTCATTGCAGTGTCTAGTATTGTGCAGCTGTAGTGTGATCCTGTGTGTTGGGTGCCATTTGCTGCTTGTACAGTTCAGCACGTCTGGCCAAGGCTTCTACACATGTCAAGTACAAGCAGCTTACAGGAAACTTTAAGGGCCTATTCAAACTATCTGCGTTTGAGCTCGGCTGGCCGTTCTTTCCAGCGCAGCCCCAGTGCAAGACTAGGCAATTTGCCTTTTCACAGGTGGTGCCCATTCACACCACCGCTTGTGGCAGGAACGCGGTGGTGTGCGTTGAAGAAAAAAAAGTACCTCATGCCTTGCTTTTTTTTTTTTCCAGCACAGCGGGATGTGACGCGGCACAACTGCCTGGCCCCCTGGAATGAAATGTCACTTGTGATATTTCAATAAAGTTCTAACAAAAAAAGTAGATTGTGATGCACAGGAATAATCGCACAGCGTCTGGAGTGCATGGGCCCTGAGGCTTCATGCTTATGTTATGCTTCTGGATGCTTAAAATGATGCATGTTTACATGCAGAAATTTGCATGTTACATGCATTAGACATACGTCATATTCATTCCTTTTAAAAAGCAGCACAACGTACTAAGGGCCCATTTACATGTGTTATGGCGCAGACAGGCCATTGAAATCAGAATGTTGGTTGCTCCCCAATGAGCTATGGTTCATTGCCATGTGTTGCAATGCATATGTGTTGCCTTAGTGGGTTGGGGGCTATTTGAAATGAATGGCACCACAACGCATCATCAAATAATGTAACGTACGTGTTCCCACCACACATATATGTAAATTGAACTTTACAGAGAGTAATATGTTGGCTGTTGCTGATCTCTGCTACTTGCCTGCATACCATAAGAACATTGGATCTCTTTCGTCTTCTTTCAAGGACTCAGGACAAGTTTGGAGCCAGTGAAGTCATCATATCTGCTCCCGGGTCAGTGACCCAGAAAGGATGGAAGCCAGCATGATAGCCAAGCAACTAACATTTTCAGTTGCTCAGAACAGTACAGTTCATTTTCAGTGCAGGCGGGACTAATCTCTTCAATTCTCCTCTCTAATGATTTTTCCCTCACTGGTGTTGACATCTTCTCCCCATTTCTTCCAGGTTCAGGGTCTTCAGCCATTTTGATTGGCCAGGCTGGGTTGACATAACTCACAAATCCAAGGTGTGCCAGGAATGTACATTGAGTTTCTCATGAACAGCTCAGTGTACATTCTAAAGCATCTTATGAGAAGGAAGTTGAGAAGCCTTAAAGGAGAACTATGGGGTTAGGGCTTTTCCCCATAGTTCTCCGAAGGGTAACGGGAGGACACAAACTAGCGTCCTCCCGTCTGGATCCGCCCAGCTGCGTGAGTGACAGCTGGCTCTGCCTATCTAGAGGCAGAACCAGCTGTACCCGCCCCCTCCCCCGTCCGTTCCACCAGTCAGCGCAGGAGGATCGGACAGGGGAGGGGAGTCAGCGCAGGAGGATCTGACACAGCTCTCTGCAGTGACATGATCGAGAAGTGAGCGTGCGCTGGTATGTGTTCGCTCACTTCCCGATCTACTGAGCCGACCTGTGACAGTCTCATTGTCACAGGTCGGCTAAAACTATGAGGTGAGTGAAAATCACTGGCCTCATAGTTCTCCTTTAATTGCAGAAGAGACATAGGGGCTGATTTATCAAGTGATTGCTGCGCATTACTTCCACTAGATGGGACCAAAGAGCTTAGGAAATGTTCACCTAGCTATACGCTATGCAAACATTTTTAAAAGTCAATCGCATAGTTTGTGTCTTCTGTAATAGAAATCCTTCCCTTTTCTTTCTTAATTCAAAGCCAAGTTCTAAATTAAAGGTCAACTATTAGGGCCTGATCACAATAGCCCGCCCACTATAACACTCTGTTTTAGCAGACGGGCTAGCGCGTTGTGGCAGCTGCAGCAGTGTGCATTGTATCGCATTCTGCCAAAGCTGTCATTGCTTACATTTTTTTGTTATTTATGTGGCGTGTACAATATGTACTCTCCATTCAGGTCCCTGCACAACCTTCTGCAGTGGCATCCAGTGCACTATGATCAAATGCAGCATGTTTGTGTTTTATCGCAGTCCATCACCTATCACACCTGCATTGTGGTGTAACAGGACACATAGAAAACAATTGTTTTTTGTGTGTCCTTGCGGTGCCCCGTGTTGATTTGGTGCAGTACAACGCAGGTCACTGCTATATGTGTAAACGGGCCCTTAGTGAAGTTGTCTGGTAAAGCCTCGCCTTCAATGTAACTAATGCTGTAAAGTACTTGCCATCAGCCCCACTCTGAAGAGCTTGTCACTGCAAAAACTACATGAGCTACTATTTGGCGAATTACAGCGCTTGTTGATCCCATGGAATTCAATGGGAAACTTTGTGCGACAAAACGCTTGGGTGTAAACAGGAGCCATGGAAACGAATGGGATTCCTTGTCTGAAGCGTTTTGTCACATGATTGTGTGTGTGTAATTGTAAGACATAATGGATCCCATCGCACTCCTGACCGGCTAAGCAATGTGACACTTTGATGGTCAATAAAAAAGATTGACTGCAAAGGTTTTTGGAGTGCGAGTGACTTTCTACCATTTACATTTGTGTAATTGTAGGTTCTTCAACTTTTGTTTCTTTTGCTTACAAATACCTGTGATCCTGCCAGCCCCTCTTCTATGCTTTAGCAATCTGACCACAGCAAGCACAAAAGCAAATCCATTCTGGTGTAGTCAGTACCTGCCCGTTCACAGTTACAGAACACCATGCCAATGCACAGCATGTCTGTATCTCCATGGTAAGTTTACCAGTCACACTTGCCACCCAGCAGTGTACACAGATAGGAACTGTACTACGCAGGCTGTATGTGAGGTCATTCATTGCCTGTCCACTCCAGAAAAGAGCCACCCCCTGCTAACAGAAAGAAAAGTTGAATGAAAGCGGCCACATGAAATACTGAATAAAAGCGGAAAACATTTATATGTGACTAAAATACTTGCTATTTGGTTAACATGTTTTTTTTTGTTACTATGTGGGTTTGCTGCAGGGAATTGACATATATTGTAAATATGAAATATGGGCTTATCCTCAGTATTTAAAAAATAAACTTATGTGATGCCTTTCTCAGGTCTGATGTGACCTATTTTATATATAGAGTTGTTTTTGGACTCTATATAGTTAGCTAGAACATTCAATAGTAAGATAACAAGACTCTCACTCTCTGGTGGTGCATGCTAACACGGGGGGCTTGGGGGTGGTGTCCTGGTGCTGCATGCTAAGGAAGGGGGTGCCTCTGTGTCATCCCCCCATCCCTCTCTGCCTCCAGCTCTGGCCAGCATTCTGCCCAGTGATGTCACCGGTTGCCAGGAGCTGATCAGGACACCGATCAGAGCATTCTGATCAGCTCGGCGGGACATCGGCCAGAGCGTCCCAAGGTGCTAAGAGCTGGGCAGAAGGAGATATGTATGGACTTTATACATCTCCTTGCCCAGTTTTTAGTAACCTGGGACACTCTGGCCAGAAAGGGGGCGGCAGTGAACTGCAATCATTGTTCAGCAGAGTGGCCATGCTGCTCTGCCTGCCGCCCCTCATGTGACCCAAAGAGATGACACCTGAGGCAACAGCCTCGGGCTGCCTCATTATAGGTATGGTCCTGCTCAAACCAATATAATACCCTCTTTTTACATTGTTGGGTTTTTGCCTTAGCATCCAATCAGGTGCTAGCATTTACATTAAAACCTACACTACTCAAATGACAAAATCAGTTTGGTTGCTGGTTCCACTTTTGTGCCATTATTTTTATTAAATTGTACCCCGTTAGTGGCCAGATTGATGTGAGGGTGATAGTCATATGAACTTAATTTTAATCTAGTAAACACCTACAATCTTTTAATTTTAAGGTGTCAGTCTATTGGTGCCATGAGCTACAAGGCCAGGAAATGTGGCATACGGTTTGAAGCACCAGCCATTGTCCTGGTATATGAGAAGACCGAAGGAAAGACTCGGCAACGCATCATGCCCATCAGGAATTTCTCTAAGTTCTCAGGTAAAGGATGTCTTTTAACTTTAAAGGAGCTGCCTTCCAATCCCCTTCAGAAGATGCTAGCTGCCTGCCTAGGATTGGAATTTCCTGCTCCTCAGCGCCATCTGGTGGCCAAAATGTGCTGCAAATCAGAGATATATGGAGGCTGCCGCTGCTGACATGTCATGAAAATTCTAGTTGCCTTTCTGGCATGCTAACCCACTGGCTTTAATACTTTAGCATATTGACCATGAAGCTCTAAGAAGTAGATGGTAGCACTATGCAATGTAGTATAACCAGATTGGATTACAATGCTACCCCATACGTTCCTAGTGCTATTCTACATGTTATTACAGGAGGCTGATATCAACACAGTTAAAAGGGAACTATGGGGCAAAACTTTTTTGGTCGTTGTTATCTTTATGGTCACAGAAGGACATTTACAAATGTCCTCCTGTGTCCAAAACAGCATCTAGCGGACTACTGCCTGCTATATGCTGACAGTGCAGAGCCACACTGCAGCAGGGAAAGATCCCAACAATAATGTCGGGATCCGCCGCTCTGTACGATTGACAGCTGGCTCTGCCTCTCTAGCTCCAGAACCAGCTGTGCCCGCCCCTTCCCCTGCCTGTTCCCCCAGTGAGTGTTGGAAGAACTGAGGGGGGGGATCAGTTCCCCTCAGTTACCGCTTACAGTCACCGCTCCCTGCAGGGAGAGGATCACTCAGTTCTCAATCTATGGAGCCGATGTGTGAAAGTTCCAGTGTTACATGTCGGCTCTAACTACCGTATTGTGATGAGTGTATTTCACTGATCCCATAGTTCTCCTTTTTAATGCTTTTTCTTTTTAAATAAATCCATAACTGGATAAAAAAAATTTACTTTCTATATTTACCTTTTTGTCTACCCTAAAACAGGTAATGATAACTGTATTTAGTTCATGCTTAGTGGACCTTTAATCATATGTTCACCTTTATTTACATACTTTATTGTTATATTTGTTTGATTATGAATAGATAAACACATATAAAATCAATATTCTATTCATAACAGTTTGGCCAAGAGGAGGAAAAAATATTCTATGTACCGTCTGACGATGATCACTTGTGTGAAGTCTTGCTATGGGATATTATATTTTGGTAAATAAACAGAATTTCTATGTGCCACGCTGTGGCTAATACAATATATCAATGAAGTATAAACTTTAAGTAAACAAAGCATCCATGTTACATACATATATAATGGTGTTTATATACAACCTAAAATACAAAACAAATCCACAAAACTGTAGTGTACCCAGTGAAAGAAATAAACCTAAAATATGCCTTTTCTTAGTTTTTTTTAATTACAATCCACCAGATCGTGTTCCAAAGTGTTATCCACTTACAATGTGCTCACACCCAGTGGGACATTGCTCAACTTCTGTAGATACCTTCCTGAATAAGGCCCGGTTCACACCTGGGTGTTTTGTAGTGCGTTTCTACGCTCTGCAAAACGCTCAAACACCGAAATCCCATTATTTCCTATGGGTATGGTTCACACCTGGGCGTATTACAGGCCGTATGAACGTGCAACAAAACGCCCTACGCCCAAAGAAGTACAGGAACTTCTTTGGGGCGTTTTTGTCGCGCGTTTCCATTGGGATACAGCCAAGTAGCCCTCGGAAACGTGCGTTTGTAGCGCGTTTTTTTGACAGCGAATCACACGACAAACGCGCATATTCGATACGCCTAGGTGTGAACCCAGCCTTAAGGTCCAAACGCACTGATTCCCTTTCTGGGGAGGGTTCCATTCCGATCACCACACCACCTGCTAATCCAGGCTTCCCACTGATGGTCCACTTATTATGTATTATGAATGAGTCTCCTTTCCAGGAAATGTTAGTATATATAAGACAAAGGACAAGCCATAGTGCTGTCCATTTAAATAATTAAAAACTCTTTTCTCTGCATTCACTGAAGGACACAGTACCCTTGAGTGACGGGATAGTGAGTGGAGACAGGATCCACTGGGTGTGAGCGCATTGCAAGTGGATAATACGATCTGGTGCACTGTAATATAAGAACAAACAAAGGAAAAGACATTGAGGGGAATGTATCAAAACTGGAGCAGACAGAATCTGAAGCAGCTGTGCATAGTAACCAATCATCTTCTCTCCTCAGTTTGTTCAGTTAAGATTTGAAAATGAAAGAGAGAAGCTGATTGGTTGCCATGCACAGCTGCTTCAGATTTTTTCTGCTCCAGATGTGTTCAATTCCCCTCATCATATTTTACGTTTTTTTATTTCACCGGGCACACTACAGTTTTGTGGATTTGTTTTGCATTTTTGGTTGTATATATACACCATTACACATGTATGTAACACGGATGCTTTGTTTACTCAATGTTTATATACGTTTATACTTCACTTTTGAGATATTCGGCACAGCCCAATTATATTTTGTTTATTTCAGGAGAATATTGTTCTTTCAGTGCTTCCAACTTTTAATTGTATTATATACATATTTTGGTAAATTGTATAGCATTCTCAGCTCATCTTGTTGATGTTTCCTCTTTATAGACTGCAGCCGAGCAGCAGAGCAGCTTAAAAACAATCCACGGCACAAGCAGTACTTGGAACAGGTATCACTGACGCAGCTGGAAAGGCTTTATAAGTTACTTAGGGGGCATTTAAAGGGGGAGAGCTTGGAGTCTAGCCTGGATGGGATTCGGAAGGAGGAAACTATTGATCCAGATGAAGATCTGAACAAACTGGATGACAAGGAACTGAACAAAAGAAAGAGCTTAATGGATGAACTTTTTGAGAAAAACAGGAAAAAGAAAGATGACCTGGACTTTGAGTATAATGTGGAAGTTGATTTCAACCTGGACAAAGTAGTGGAGAGCTGTGGGTGGGATGATAACTCAGAAGGCGGTTTCTGACTACAACGTAAAAATATGGATTGACACTACACTATTGTTAGATTGTATGGAAACCCTTGGCGTTATTGGATTATTTATATACTTTATGTCTCACAACATATCAGGCAGTTTGAACCATACCGCGGCAGATACTATTTTTGAACTACAGACATCACTAATCACAAGATGTTTATCAGAGGATATGCAATCAATGTATTATTTATCTTGTTATTTGTTAAGAAATATATATGGAAAATAATGTACAAGTTCTCCTGTCTTATTACCAAATCCTATACAGCAAAGCATATTGTGTGGCCCCTCAGGGGACATCCATATATGATGTAAAACCATATTAAAGGGTTATTAAGCCCTCATTTGTTTTTGCATATATCTACTGCTAGCAAGTCCGAACGTCTGAAAAAAAGGATCTTGGGGCGGGCGCATGCGCAGATGTTCATTCGGGAGACGAGGAGAAACACAAGGTAAGTCTATGGAGCAGCGTGCACCTACACAGACTCCGTGGGACATGAGCGAAGAAGAGGACAGAAGAGTCAGCGCTGGATCGAAGACCTGCACCAGCGCTGGAGGGACAGCTGAAAACTCCTGGAAAGAAGATTAAGAAGCATCATTTAAGGTAAGTCCTTACATTAGCACTGTGGGGGGTGGAATTTGGCCTTAATATCACTTTAAGGCACTCCTTTTTTCTTTGTCACATAGACGAAACTATTTCTGTCACTTAGGCTTACAACCATTTTTACATGACAAATGTAGGAATGTAGCTTACCATACACCATCTCGGGTTAACAAAATTGCAGCTGCTGATTAAATTGCTGGTCAACCTCATGTTCTTTCTTTTCATCACTGGAGAACATGATGTGTCCCCTGTCAGCTTCACAGAAGCCATCTCAGTAGAAGCCATCTCCTTTAGTTAACAGAGGAATACACTCTTTGCTGTACTCCAAGTACGAGTAGCCAGATGAGCTGTGAGACTAGTTTATCATGTGTATGTTGGTATATGGTCTTGTTCAAAAGGACGCAGAATTGTTGGTTTTGCAGTGCAGCACCAGTACTCAGCCTTGTTTCCACAGGCCCCATGCATAACATCATAAAAGAATACCTCTTATTGCCCACAGCAGTCAGTCAGACTGTCCCTTTCATTCTACCATATCTTAGAGCCTTGCTTCTCAACTGGTGGGTCGTGACCCAAAAGTCAGTGGCGACCTTGTGTTCAGTGGGTCACCACATGCCTTTCACCTTTCTAGGTAAGAGGCTCCTATGCCACCCCCTAGTGCAGCACTCAGTTTTCGTGCCAAGCAGCCATTCAAAATATGCTGCCCAGTGCCGAGTGTCAGCTTGAGATGGGATGGAGCTATGGCCACGAAGGAGCTCCATCCATACATGCATTGTTTACAGCTCCCTCACGTGTCCTGTAGAGGTGTCTGGACCAGAGTGACATCACATTCTGGCTCCTGACACCTCTACAAGGCAGCTGTACTTGCAATGCACATATGAATAGAACTCCATCACAGCACAGCAGCCCACACTGGACCCCAGGCTGAGGATCCACTCCAGTCCTCGTAAGGTAGGAAAACTGGGTGGGTCTTAAAAAAAAAGAAACCATTTTGGAGTGTGTGTGAGAATGTGTCTGTGGTTGTGTTTGTCTGTCAGTGTTTTTGACTGCCTGTTCACACTAGGACAGTACGTTAATCACATAGTACTGTGCTATTAACGCACTGTACCACGCACTGGCACCTACCGTGCATTCTAGTATGGGAGGTGTGTTGCACTGCTATTTATTTGAATAGTACCCCAAAAGCACCTCCCACCCACAGTTTGTATGCCCGCACCGGAACACGCAGTACTCTAATGCCGTGACATAATGACCAAATGCAGGTCCTGAGGTTACACAGGCTGAGAACGACTGACTAAGAGCAATTGTGAGGTTCTGATAAATTGCTATGGGCACCAGGAACTAGATACCTTTGCAGATTAAGCTTGACATAATGGCTGGCCTCATATTAGCCTGGTACCCTGCTTTAACTGTAGCTGCTATTTTGTGGACTGAAGCAATATTTCTGGAATTTTAAAGAAAATATAAAAACAACTCTGCATTCCACCTTTTATATGGCACTGAACCCAACAATACCTGCGTGCAATCTGAAATGAAACTCCTTGTCCCTGATGAAGCCCAATGGGGCAAAATATGTTGAGCAGAATGTGTGGGAGATGCCATTTGAACACTGAAAACTCTGTGATTACAACATTGGGAGCCACAGTTTTTGGTACTATTATTAAACACTTCTGGGCCGCAATACGTCTATAGAAGGCGGCCCATTAAAGTGGTTAAAACAAGAACACGGCTGCTGCAACAGCCATGTTCTTGGTGTCCTTTTTAACAGCAGGCGATTGCTGTTAATGTACTAGCGATTCGGCATCTGTACAGCCACCGGATCGTTTGTACCATGCCGCCACTGTTGGCTTCCCCAGGCACCGCTGTCCCCGTGCGGCGCCTGGAAGCGGCTCAGCGGGTCTCCCTGCAGTGATCGGAGAGAGATTCAGCGGCTTCCTGCACCCAGAATTCCTGGACCCGGAATTGATGTGGATTACATCACTTCTGGTGTCGCTGTACACAGTCTCCGGCTCTTACAGCCAGGAGATGAAGCAGATCTCTACTTCATCAGATTCTTTAGGGGTCCAAAGGTGACATTAGGAGTATGAAAGACCCCTGATGTCTCCATAAAGAGGACCTGTCACACCCTATCTGCTATTACATAGGGGTGCAAGTGTTTAAAAATTATAACAATTAAAGTAGCATATAAGAAAAATTTAAAAAAATGCAAACATTTTTTATTTACGTCCCCGCCCCCCACGTGCACGCACATACACACACACACACAAACACGCGTCGGTGCGCCTACGTGCGAAAACGACAATTGCGCTACACATGTTACATATCGCCGCAAACGTCGGAGTGAGAGCAATAATTCTGGCACTTTCAATCACTGTTAGCACTAAACTGATGAGCGGTAAAAACATTTAAAATGTTTCCTATGGGACATTTTGGGTATTTACTTTTTTTGTGGCTTCACGGGCGAATACAATTTTAAGGCTTGACATGTTTGGTATCTATTTACCCGGCGTGATCCCGTCTTTTATATTTTACCAAATAATTGGGTATTATATTCTGTCTCTGTGCACTAAATTTTAATTTATTTTTTTTCCCCTAAAAATACCGGTTTGATAAACATTTGCACATAAACCGTGCGACATAAAAAATGACAACTAGCATTTTCTTATTCTCCAGGGCCTCTGCTTTCAGAACATATATCATTGTTTGGGGGTCTGAAACTGTTTTCTAGCCACAAATTTATATTTGATCATGTGTGCGCAAACAACAAGAAAATGCCCCGGACAGCAAGTGGTAAAAGCTTTTATGTCTGACACATTTTTTAGAACTCTTCTTGCATTATTTACAGTTATACAAGTCAGAAGTAACCATGTTTTTGCAAGCAACATTATCTATGGGCACACTGCTGTGAATTACTGCTGGAGATGCAGGTGATCTCTTTGAAGGACTGTTCTTGAGAATCTAATAGCATAAAGCATGCATGCATGCATACAGGGACAATTTCGAGAGGAGCCAGTTAACCTTCCAGTCTTTGGAGTGTGGGAGGAAACCCGCACAAGCACAGGGAGAACATGCAAACTCCTTGTATATAGTGACCTGACCGGGGTTCCAACCAGGGCCCCCTTGGGGCTGCAATTATGGGCATTTTATTCCTCTCTCCAAATCTGCCTTAAAGTAAATCTGACACAAACCTGGGCAAGTAACATTAAGCATATGATTAGAGATGTACTGCGTAAGTAGAGGTTCCCTTAAAGCGACACTATACTCAGACATTAAATAATAAAAATAACTTCTATTATATAAATAATCAATGACTGTGCATCTTTTTTTGTCATTGTTCAGCTCTAAATGCTCCAAAATCCGTTTTATTTTTTCTCCACCCACAACTTCCTGCCAGAGGGTGGCTACTTTTCTTCTCCATGGTCCCTATGGGAGCTGAAAAGTAGCCACCCTCTGTGCTGGTTCATTTGAAGGACTACAACATGTTGGGGGCGTGTCTACTCAGTCTCCGCCCACAACTCCTCCCCTCTAGACTCTGCAAGGAGTTGATTTCTATCCTCCAAGCTCACCAAGGACAGAGTGTGGGGGGAGGAGAGGAGATTCAGCATGTGAGCTGTCACCAGCCTCATACTTTCTTCTAAGTCTCAGCGCACATGATGAATCTGGTCACACAGTCACAGAGGAGGCGGCTCCTACATCTGAAATGTTTCAGAGCCGTAGCTGGCTCCTCTTGCGCCCGAGGCAAGAACAAAAAATTGCGTCCCCCAACAGATGTGCTATTTTTCTTTAATGTATTTTTTATTATTTTTTTTTTTTACCGTTGGGCGGGCTTCGGGGACATATCAGGGATCTAAACAGACCCCTCACATTTCCCTTTTGAAATAGAAAAAGACATTGAGGACACAGAGTTCTCTGCCCATGCAGGTGGGAGAGAGCTGCGGGAACCGATCATCACTTCAAACGGGAGCCTGTGCCGCTCCTCCTCTCCCTGCCGAGCAGCGGCTGTGTTGGCCCGCCTGGCGCCCCTGTTGCCAATGGTGCCCTGTGCTTGCCATGGCAACAGGGGCAAGGGGGTGCAGCCAGGCCGACCCTGGCTACGCCCCCTCTAGGCTGCGCCTGAGGCGAGTGCCTCAACTCGCCCCATGGTAGCTACAGCCCTGTGTTTTTCTGTGTAGATTGTTGTAAATGTCACTGTTGTAGATTTGTTGTCAGTAGATTTGATCATTCAGAGCATTGCAGAGGAGATTACAAGCAATGACACTGTCACAGTGTGTATAGTGAGGAGGCAGCTGTGTGCAGTGAGCGATGATTCCTCTCAGCCACATGGGAGTTGTAGGCAAAGAAAGATGTGCACATGACCAGAATCCCCTATATTAAATGATAAAACATTTATTACCCAATTTTTTGGTAAAATATAAAAGACCGGGTCACGTCGGGTAAAAAGACACCAAACATGTCAAGCCTTAA